GGGCAGAACTAATTTATGGTGTTAAAAGTCAGAATATGGGCAATTCTTTACATAGGGGGTATATCACTGGTACAGGGCACAAGGGGCGGAGGGGGGGTGTCTGAGGTGTGTTATGTTCTGTATTTTTATCTGGTTGTTAGTTGGATGAGCTTATTGAAAATTCATTGATCTGTATGTACACTTATGTACAATTTTCCTGTTTTATATACATATTTATACGTGCATATCCACAAATGCCTTTTCAATTAGAAAACATATGCAATTCTATGTAAAGTCGGTTGTTATATCACATATTTAAAATATCAGTCATAAAAAGCTGGAATGAGAATAACATACTATATCATATCCAAACTTCCCCCACATAGATGGAATTTATGCCCAATTTATAAGAAGGACTCCAAAGGAGTTTGTTTTGGCAAGGGAATAGCATCAAGCTAGTTTATCATTGAATTATCAAGGTTTCTTAAGAGCATGTGCCACAGATCTTTGGGGAGGGTTTGGGGGCATATAGGTGGGGGCTGGCCTCTTGCAGTGGCACAATTAGAAGAGATCTTAGAGAGATTAAACAGTGCACAGCAAAAGACCAATAAGCTTATGAAGCCATGACAGAAAAGGATGGGTAAACAGTTATTGAAGGGAAGCTGCTCCCTTGTACTCTTTTATGGTGTTCATCTATATCTATATCTATATCTATCTATCTATCTATCTATCTATCTATCTATCTATCTATCTATCTATGGTATCATTTTGGTCTCTTCTGGCTTCACTAATGCTGCATCCTTCCAGAACTATTGGGTTGTCAGAAAAGTCATGGTGCATTTTTGCAATGAAAAACACAGAAAAAATTTGTCATGACTTTTCCGACAACCCAATAGCTTAACACTTCCTCTCCAATGAACACTTCTTACTATCATTTAGCTGAGAGAGCTTTTTTCCATTTGTAACACTTCAATCAATGTAAATGAGATAAAAAATAAAATATTTAGGTGAACAAATTATATAATTATTTGTTTTTTTAATCTACCCCCCCATATATATATATAGTTTTGGGGGTGGAAAGCACATCTCACTTATTTATCCACAGAACTCCAGGGTAATTGTTAGCGTGAACCACATATGCTCTTACAAGTGTTGGTGGAATTAAAAATGAAAACACTTTCATTAATACCACGAGATAGCATGAAACCTCAGCTAAATTTAAAATGCAAAATTTCTGCAGTTGCTATTTACCAAGTCATGTTCATATTGAGATTCCCAAGCTATATGTCCTATTTTTTAAACTCTCTAAAGTGTGTAAACATAAAATGAAAACTCCAATAATAGAGGTAAGGAAGCTTTTAAGTGGCATGACAACACTGGAAAGCATATTTTTTTTAAGTTCATTGACACAAGGTTACATGAGGTGGGATTAAAAAATATGGTGAATGCTTAAATTAAAAAATATATATATATATTACAATAAAAGACACTTTGCCATTAATCCCCTCAAAATACCGCCCACCCCCATTTCAAACACACTTATCCCATCATTCTTGCCACTTTCTGAAGCAGTCCTGGAAGTCCTCTTTCGTGAGTATCTTTAGTTGCGCTCTCATGGCTTCCTCGATGTCCTGAATTGATTCAAAATGTTTTCCTTTTATAGTCATTTTTACTTTGGGGAAAGAAGTTGCATGGTTCCAGATCCAGTGAATTAGACTAATGAGGACACACTGTAATGTTTTTATTCGACAGAAATTGCTGTACCAGAAAGGCATGTGTCACAGAGGGCATTTTCATGATGAAGGATGAAGTAAAGACATGAAAGGGGGCTTCCAGAACTGCTTCAGGAAGTGGCAAGAAAGGTGGGATAAGTGTGTTGGAAGTGAGGGGGAGTATTTTGGAGAGGATTAATGGCAATGTGTCTTTTACTGTATTTTTTTTCTTTTCTACTTATTAACATTCACCATATTTCCTGATCACATCTCATATACCAAGTTCATTTTAGGTCAAATGAACAGAAATTCTGGCTTCTAGAAGCCTACAATTTATATAAGGCAACTGTCTAAAATGTGCTAATATAGGTTTATAAATGTTTAGATGCAATAAAGCAGATGGAGATGCTAATAAATGAGATTAGAAGTTCTCAGAAGGATAAATAAATGTGTTCTGACATTTTAACAAGTCTTTTAGTAGGATAATGAAAAAGGAAGGAAAGCACACAAAATTTGGAATCCATAGGGTGCAGGATGGCTTGAGGACACAATTGCATTTGAGAAGACGAGGTACAATTTGAATGGCAGTGAGGAAACGGGCTTCTCTAGAACTGATATCAGATTGAATAGTTCTACTGGGGGCAAATGTGGAAATCAAGTGCCACATCTTTTTTGATCAAGTTCCCAGTTTTTCACACTAAACTAACATGTTAGTATACAGTTTTATTTATGCATTTGTTCAATGTATATGCAAACATCTGCATAAATCATTTTTCATGCTTGTCCTTGTCTATGGCATCTGTCTAATTTATGAGGCTGAAGAAAGTGTTATAAAGCCTTTTTAACAAGGTTATGCAAGAATATAACAATAATTTTAATTTAGTAATAATCCTCCTATTTGGAGACATACTTAATAATCCTCCTATCTACAGATATGCTAGAGATATAGTGTTTCTAGTAGTTTAAATGAAAGAGAACACAATAATTTATCTAAGATATCGTTTAGAAATGTTTTCCATCATGATTTTTGTTCAGACATATTATATAAAATGTCCATATCATTATTTGTATGATATGTCCATAACATAACTTGCAATTATTAGCATTGTTTAACATTCTGTCATTGGTATGATAATAAATGTTCATTATAAAACAGCTTAAGTGGACACGGACCTCCCCTCTCTTGGGGGCTTACAAGATGGAACCGGATTTCTTGTCTCCCAGAATCAAAAGCATTTATTTTGGACAAGTGTAAATACAGTACATTTAATAGTCCAAATACAAGCAAGGAACTTGCCTTTGTGGAGAACTAACTGCAATTATTTCAGCGAAGTGACAATTCTTACTTGAGAAACCACCAGGAGGCCTTCCACAAATGATTTACTCAGGGTGCTTAAAGCAATTTTACTCTGCAGATTTGTCACTTTATAGTCACACCCCATATAATTCAGTAGCTCCAGAGGATTTTTTTTTGGCAATAATTATAAGATTAAGGGCTTATTTGGGGAGCCATTAATAATATCAATGAAAGGATTAAAACAATTTTAGTGAAAATCATACAGAGATCAAAGAGCTCGTGAAGTTAATACTTCTGCTAAGTTTTAAATGAAAACCTAATCACAGAAAAGCAGAATCTCCTCAACCCAACACTCCAAATGGATTCTAAAGAATTGATATTTGATGGTTTGACAGAGAAAAATAAAGTGCCCATTCCTTGCTAATCATGGAAAACCACCCCTGAGAGAACATTACAACACCTACATGCAATGAAATGATTCAACTTCTTTTAGGCATAACATCAGAAAATCTAAACAAAGTTGGGGGTATGTGAAATATAGAACAAGAGAGCTACACAAGAAAAACCAAATGCACCCAAACTAATATCAAATGGTATCCCTAATGTTAAAATCTCATTTCTCATAAACACTCACCTTAGTATGAGCCAGCATTTTAGCAATAAACAAACAACAACCTTCAAGGTTTAGACCATTATCCTTCAAATATACTATATCACAGATACTTTGATCTTCAGAAAACTGGCATGTTAAAATTTCTTTTAATAACTGATAAAATAGCAATTAATAAAAATAAGATATTCATTCTATCCACTTATTAAGCACACACAAACATACTTTCAGAATTTTAAGTATATCAAGTAGACAAGAGGTTAAAAATAAGGTAGGCTAGGGCCAGCCGAGTGGGTCAGTTGGTTAAGAGCTCGCTCAAGGGTTTGAGCACTGAGCAACAGCAGTTCAATGCCTGGCCCAAGCTGAGCTGTCGCTAAGCTAAAAAATAAAAATAAAAAATAAGGCAGGCTTTCTTAAGCACAAGAAAGGTAATTCTTGAAACCTACTGTTTTTGTTTTTATACTTCGATTTTTTTATTTTTACATATGCTGTGATTTCATCCATATTTTAACATATCCTTACACAATAGGAAAGAAAAAAAAAAAAAAGAAATGCCTAAACAGAAATCCTAATGAAAAAACAAGTTTACTAAATAAATCATTTATTGATTATTTAAAAATTATTTTATGAACAAATAGAAAGCATGAAGGCTCATATTAAATGAATGAGTTCCTCTCTGATTTATGAGAAATCACAGTAATAGTGAACAAATACTAAAAACATATTTAATATTTAGCTAATTTTTCAAGAAACTTGAATATAATTTAAACCTTTTATACTATGGATTACTATTGACCAGTCTCTCCAGAACTGAAGATCTGCATGATATTATATGGTACCTTAGTTTGTATTATTTTTACATGTAATATTTTAGAAAGCTTAAGGGTTTAAAATAAATTAACAAGTATTAGTTATCAAAAGAATATTCCTTTCATTGTTTCCAAGGCCAGCAATCTTTAATCAATAGTATTATACTATATTGTATTTTGATTAATAGATATAAAAATTGCCTGTTAACTTACTTTTTATTCTTTTTCTTACACTGATAGAAAATAATTGTTAGCAGTAAAGTAATTTTTCTGAAATTTCTGGAGAAAATTATAAAATTCTGCTTTTGAAAACTAAAAACTAAATTTATTTTCTTATCTAATAAACCCAGTTCCAGAGAACATAAAGTGGACTGTGAAACTTAATAAATAACCTAATAAATTTTAATAATTTCCAAATGCCTTTTGCAATTTCTAACATCAGGATTTTAATATGTGGAAAAGTTTGATATTGAAAAAGTAGTTCAAATTATCCTAAAATAACACAACACTGTTTATTATGTTCTTACACACAGATGAATGTCGAGAGTTTATATTATAAATGCACAAAGAAAAGAATATTAGAAGTATCATACCTTTGAGACATAATCTTATAGGCATCTGGGAGATAGCATCGTATGTTCTCCATCTGAGCAGGGTCAGAGTCACAGATTTTGTCATCAGTCCTCCCATAGTTGGCACTTTCAATCATGATGACATCGGTTCCCGGACAGCGGAGCTCAATGGGGTAGCTCTCACAGGAGAGTTCTCTGCGGACCACAGCCATGGGTATTGGGGCGCGGCTGAAAGCTACCGGAAAGAGGAGGAAAAAAAATAATAAGTCCGCTTTACTAAATACAAAATAAATGCACGTGTGTTGGTTTTTTCAGTGTTTAGGGTACACTAATACCAACGAATAAAGCAGTTACAATTCATAATTTTAACTAAAATAGGGTATCTCTCACTTCAGTAACTAGTTTTTTGGGTTTTTTTATAATTAATTCTAAAAATAGAAGGTATTTCTTAAAAACTTGATCTAACAGTTTTTGTCTTATAAATGGAAAAAAACACTCCAGGTTTTCTAAAACTTTGGCTGGTATGTAAGACTACACAGAAATATCATCCAATTTTCTGAGTAATATTCTCAAAAAAGCCTCAGGGGTATTGTGTGTGTGTATGTTGTTTTGCTTTTCATGCACACACTTGCCAAAAAAAATTGCACTGTTCTTGAATTTATATATACTTATTTAAATAGTCTATTTCAATTTTAAAAAGCAATTTTATCATTTTAAGTAGCAGTTAACATATTCTGTATACTGTAGGACTTAATTATACAAATAATGAATGTTTTTTATTGAAGAAAACAAAATGTACATGGAGAAAAATTAAATTTTCCTTCAGTTCCCTCCCCTCACATTTCCCCCAATGCCAAGAGGTAACCAGTTAATAATGTGGTAGGTAACCTTCCTATTAGAATTTTCTATAGAAAAACAGATAGACATCTTTCCTCCCACCACTCATTCTATTTTACTCAAGTAAATTTTACTGAGGGAATATCAAACTACACATATTGTTTGATACCTTGATTTATTTTATTTATTATTATTATTGTTATTATTATTATTTTTTTTTTTTAGCTGAGCCATCCTGCCACCTGTTGGCAGCTCAACGACAACTCAGCTTGGGCCGGGAATCGAACTGCTGTTGGTCAGAGCTTGCACTCTGGAGCGAGCTCTTAACCAACTGAGCCACTCAGCCAGCCCAATTAATTTTATTTATTAATTTAACAATGTATGATGCAAATATTTTCATTTCTATATTGTATTCCTCATGTTTTATAGATGCATTATATATATATATATATATACATATAAAAATTTTAATTGTTCTTATGTTAATGGACATTTAGGACTACCCCGGTGTTTTTGTGTCATAATAGTTCAAAGAAATATGACAAACCTTGGATATAATATTTTGGAAAAGTATAATGATACATATATATTTTATGATATATTTCTATAAATGAAATTGCTGGATGAAAGGGGATATATATTTCAAGTCTGGCAAATATCAACTAAATGTCCAAAAATTTTAATAAAAATGTATACTTCCACCAGCAGTACTTTTCAAAACTATGTATCATCAAGTCCTTTAAATTTGCCAGTATGATAGACAAAGGATATAATATACATATTTTAATTTTCACTATTTTATTTGTACAATGAAATATATTTTTATGTTTATTAATCCTTCATATTTCTTTTATTTCTGAATTGCTTGGTCACATTTACTCATAGTTCGCATTGTAAAAGTTCATTGTATACCAAGAAATTTGAAATCTGCTCTTTATATTTGTGGCAAATGTTTTTCTAGTGTGCTGTTTGGTTTTACATAAAAAAATGTATTTAATTTTTATACAGACAACTATCTATTTTTCATGTCACGTTTTGCAGTTTCATAATCCAAGGCTGTGAACATAATCAGTGCATTATTGGAAGAAAGTTAAATGTTTAATGGTAAAAACTCAACAAATCTTCTTTTAAATTGCATGTAACTGAAATCTTAAATTGTTTATTAACCGTTCAATAAGTTGATTTCCACATAAGAGAATCAATTGTAGAGATACATGACAGCTATAAATTTGCACTGATTGTTAACTCACTAATGTGCACATACACTAAAACATGCATTTAAATAAATATGTACAACTTTTCTCGCTGTCTTTTTACTAAGCATGTAATGTGAAAGGAAAAGAAAGGAGAAGAGAAGCAAGGAAGTAAAAAGAATGGGGGTAGAGAAAGAAATTTTTATTAGTATACTTTCACTTGAAACTTCGAGAAATATTGATTTGGTTTGTGAAACCACACCTATTATTTCAAAATTGAGAATGACATTACTTTCTACCACATTTCTAAAACATTTTGGAAAAACCATAACTGTACCATAGACCCCATGCATAACTTCTGAGAAG